CACCTCTATTGTACAACCTAGGCTGCACATCGGAAATGCCACAACATAGATTGCACCACACAGGTTGCGCAACATGGATTGCTAGAAACACGCTGGTTAGGGGCCCACACTGGCCAACATGCAATAAGAAATCCGCACGTAGCACCACTCAAAATTAGCCTGGCGAAGGACCCAACCATATGCAGTTGAGAGTACCGCAATTGTGAATATCTTCTTCGGTGGCGCTCCCTATGGGGCCACGGGCCGTATGAGGGGTGCGCCGAAATGCGCGGCAGTATACACAACACGAACGAAGACGATAGGTCCGAATATGAAAGCTTGAGCGCGTGCGAGTCGGATCGCGAGCGAGTCTGATTATGAATGAATCTGCGCGCGATTGATTCTATTCGCATGAATGCGTGCATGGATACGCCCAGTGTAAATGTATGTATACGACTGTGAACAGTTTGGGTCTGCGTGACTCTCGGTACTCGTGACTCTGAGCGTCGCCTCTGCAGGGGGCTTCCCTGGGAACCCCGACGGCAGCGCCCGCGCGCCGCGACGCCCATGTCGGCACGCCACACACGAGGATCGCGCTCGCTTCCTCCCCTCATTTTTCCATCTCCTTTGCCCGCGCACTCCAAAGACCAAGGCTGCGGGCGCAGCGCAAGGCGGAGCCCCCGCGACGCGCGCAGGTCGCCCCGAAGGGGTCGCAGTGACGCGCGCGGTTCGTCCGCTGAGCGGATCAGAGAGCGATTGCTGGCTGACTCGTAGCGCGCATGGCTCTGGCCGCCAGGCAGAGCGACGAGGGGCGGGCGAGGCGCTGGGCAGAGCGCAATGCGGAGTTTGCGCGACGCGCGCTGATCGCCCCGAGAGGGTCAAAGCGACGCGCGCGAGTCGTCCGCGGCGCGAGGCAAAGCAGTCGGACAGCCAAGAGAAGGCGCGGCTGGGGCGGGCCGCTCCTCAGGTCAGGCCTCGCGGATAAACTCTGCGAAGCCGAGCTCCCTGGCGAGGGCCGTCGCCTCCCTCCTGCACCGCTTCGTGCGCGCCGCAAACTGCTCCAGCTGCTTACGCAAGCCCTCCGGCGGCCCGGCCTGGAAGAACTCGATGCGCGGCGCCCGCGTGAGCAGGAGGTCCTCGTGGCGCGTGGCGCGCGAGAGCAGCACGTAGAGCTCCAGCCACCAGTCGTCGCCCTCCTTCTTGCCGTTCCCGCCGCAGTCCAGGATCACGCCTGGGCGACGTCGGCCGAGGGAGCAGTGCGCCGGGCAGCCGACGGCCCAGGGCGAGAGTCCACAAGACCGAAGGATGGCTGCGGACTGCTCGCGCCTCGGAGGTCTGGCCGTCCCCAGAGCGCCGTTCCCCCGCCCCGTCGCCTTCTCGCATGGTGCGCCCCTGGCACGCCACCGTGGTGATGACCCTGCCGTGCGAGAACGGGAAGCCCGTCCGGGTGACCTTGGAGGTGCGGAAGGTGAACGGCTCCGACGTGCGGGGCTCGATGAACACCAGCGGGCCCGTGAGGTCCCCCGTGAGGCTCTCGTCGTGGCGCTCGAGGTCATCCACGAAGGGCGCGCTCGCGTACTTCTCCATGCGCACCCAGAACCCCAGCGGCAAGTGCTTTAGATAGATCCTCTTCTCCCCGTCTCTCTCGGCCTTGTCGACGTCGCCCCGATCTCGAGGGTCCACGACGATGTGCACGATCTGCCCCTCGGCATCCTTGACGAGGCCGTTCTTGAGGTCCAGCGCCTCCAGGAGCCGGATCCGCATGCCCACGTGCACCGGGAGCAGTCCGTGCATGCCACCGGTGTTCTTCGGGTTGGCACAGTTCATCATCTTGGCGGCGTCCTTCCTGCTCATCGTCGGGGCAGACCTGTCGGCGGCCTGCACGAGGAAGAGAGGCTTCTTCAGGACGTCCGCGTCCCGCTGGGCACGCATGTTCATCCAGCGCGCCACGGTGTCCCAATAGGACCCGATCATGTGGCCGTTCTGGAACCTGTCCTCCCGGAGTCTACGATCATCGGGTTTCAGCTGCATGGCGTTCCACGTGGCCCGGATGGCCGGCGGGACCTGCTTCCCCGGCTTGCGCAGGAACGCCATGAGGTCCCTGAGTTTCGGGTCCTTGAAGCGGTTGGACGCCTGGAGCTCGAAGCACAGCGGCGTGTTGCAGAAGAGCTTCATCACTGCCTGGCACTCTGGTGCGAGGTTGATGCCCGCCGCCGCCAGTTCCTCGAAGCTGGAGATGAGCGACACCTTGCCTCCCGTCGGCTTCAGCTGCAGGAAGTCCCCCAGGTGGATCACGATGGGCATCCGGCCGAAGGCGCCGCCGACCTGGTCGTACTCCCGCTCCTCCGCGCCCCACTCGGCCTTGCGTCCCAGGTAGGACCGGGACCCGCACTGGGACCTTGCGTCCCGGACTGCGCCACTGGGACCTTCGGCGGAGCTCCCTGTGGGGCCACGAAACGTGTGAGGGGTGTGCCGAAATGGGTGTGCGGGACGCATGCGGACGGCAGCACTGGGGCCTTCGGTGGAGCTCCCTGTGGGGCCACGAAACGTGTGAGGGGTGTGCCGAAATGGGTGTGCGGGACGCATGCGGACGGCAGCCATGGGGCCTTCGGTGGAGCTCCCTATGGGGCCACGAAACGTGTGAGGGGTGTGCCGAAATGGGTGTGCGGGACGCATGCGGACGGCAGCACTGGGGCCTTCGGTGGAGCTCCCTATGGGGCCACGAAACGTGTGAGGGGTGTGCCGAAATGGGTGTGCGGGACGCATGCGGACGGCAGCCATGGGGCCTTCGGTGGAGCTCCCTATGGGGCCACGAAACGTGTGAGGGGTGTGCCGAAATGGGTGTGCGGGACGCATGCGGACGGCAGCATTGGGGCCTTCGGTGGAGCTCCCTGTGGGGCCACGAAACGTGTGAGGGGTGTGCCGAAATGGGTGTGCGGGACGCATGCGGACGGCAGCCATGGGGCCTTCGGTGGAGCTCCCTATGGGGCCACGAAACGTGTGAGGGGTGTGCCGAAATGGGTGTGCGGGACGCATGCGGACGGCAGCACTGGGGCCTTCGGTGGAGCTCCCTATGGGGCCACGAAACGTGTGAGGGGTGTGCCGAAATGGGTGTGCGGGACGCATGCGGACGGCAGCACTGGGGCCTTCGGTGGAGCTCCCTATGGGGCCACGAAACGTGTGAGGGGTGTGCCGAAATGGGTGTAGGGGACGCATGCGGGCGGCAGCCCTCGGGCCTTCGGTGGAGCTCCCTATGGGGCCACGAAACGTGTGAGGGGTGTGCCGAAGTGGGTGATGACGATGACGATGACGACGATGACAATGACGATGATGATGATGATGATGATGATGATGATGATGATGATGATGATGATGATGATGATGATGATGATGATGATGATGATGATGGGAGGAGGGAGGAGGGGGAGGAGAGAGGAGGAGGAGGAGGTGGGACGCGGGGCGCTGTCTCTTCAAAACGAGGACCCAACACCACAGGATGGTTGGGAAAAAAACACAATGTTGGACAATCATGGTTTTTGAATCCTGATACTAACACAAGATTTTCTTACTAGACAATGCGTTGGGAAGGGCCTTGTGCAAACGATTCCTCAGGAAGGATTCGACTTAATACTTTCAAGAAGGACGAATACGGATTACACGCTGAGGATGACACAGTGAAGGCTCTGGGCTAAGCATACATCAACACTTGCACGTCGCAAAGATTCCCCGATGAGGATTCCGTTGCAAGGATTCCTTAGGAAATGCCCCTTGTCAAGAGCTCCTTCTTTCGAATGTATGATGGGATTCCTTGTATGAAGGACCCCTTGGGGAGCATCCTGTAGCCAGGGTTCCTCAGCAAAGATCCTGCACGAAGGGCTCTTTAGTAACGACCCCTCACGAAAGGACCCGTTCGAAAAGATCCGATCTTAAGGGTTCTACAGTGAAGAATATGTTCCCCCGAATTATCCGAAATGCCTCTTTACTAACGATTCCGCATTACGGTTTCCTTAGGAAGAGTTATGTACGGAGGCCCCCCTTGTAATATCAGGTTGTTATGGTGGTCGAAATTATACACAGCGATCCTCATCATCGGCGTGACCATACGGAATCGATATTGTTGCGTTAGAAATAAGCAAAAGCAAACGAACCACCGATGACCTAGTAGTAGTGATGGTAGTGAGGTCGTAGCGAAAGTGAAGTAGAAGTAGCGATCGTAGTCGTGGTGGCACTACGATTCGCAATACTTGTCGCAGCCACATGGTTAATCGTAGCAATACGAGTACACGCAATTGGACTGGTGCACGTAGTAGTAATAGTAGTAGTAGTAGTAGTAGTAGTAGTAGTAGCAGTAGTAGTGGTACTAGCAATGGTAGTAGAAGTAGAAGTATAAGTAGAAGTGGAAGTAGAAGTAGCAGTAGTAGCAGTAGTAGCAGAAGTAGCAGACGTAACACTTGTAGTAGGAGACGGACTGGCTGCACCAAGAATAGTAATGGTAATAGCTGTGGTAGTACCCGTCACAATAATACTAATAGCAATCGCCGTAGTAGACCCGATAGTAATAGTAACAGTCATGATAGTCGCAGTAATAGCAACGGCAGTCGCACAAGTCGTAGTGGTAGTAGTGGTAACAAGTTTAAGAAGAATATCAGAATATTAATAGTGGCGCCTACGAGGCGGCCACGGCTATGTACTAGGCGAATCCCCAGCCCACCCACCACGCGAGAGGCGGTCACCAGGCGGCCACAGCCAGGCACCAGGCGAACCCCACGCCATCCCATCGAAGTATTTCGAAGACAATCCAAAAGCCCGCGGAGCAAGCACTCTATGGGTAAATAGCAGACGAGCGATCAGAAACGATAAAAGAAGATACTATAATGAAATCCGCAAGGAATGTAAAAAAGAGAAGAGTCGGCAGGAGAATAGAGAGGGGAGGACAAGAGAGGAATGGGGAAGATAATAGATGAGAAGAGGAGAGAAGAGAAGCGGAGAAGAAGAGGATCGCTCGCGTTTGGCGTGCGAACCTCATTGCCATCCCGCACGCCCACTTTGCGCCCAAACAGAATGACCGGGCCGACGAATCCGAGCTGCACGAAGGCCATGTCGCACATGGAGATACAGCGGCGCTGCTGAGGTGGCATCTTCTCCTGCGTGCTGTTTACTGGGGGAAGCTGGCAAGGACCATCATCATCACCATCACGATCATATTCAACTACCTCATGAGTTCTGTCACCATCGTTAACCAAAAACGGTCGTCTTCGCAATCACCGTCATCGCCATCACTTCCGTCATCGTCGTTATCGCTATCGTCGCCGTAATCGTCGTCATCATCGTTTTCATTGTCAGCATCATCAGCATCGTCATTATCATCACCATCCTCCTCCTGCTCCTGATCATCAACACCATCATCATCATCGTACCATCATCATCAGCATCATCGTCCCTATCATCATCCTCATCATCATCGCCGATGACAGCATCATCGTCAGCATCATCAGCAGCAGCATCATCGCCAACACAACGATCCACATCATCGTCATCATCATCGTCATCAATATCATCATCATCATCAGCAGCAGCATCAGCATCATCACCATCAGCAGCATCATCATAATAAACAGTTTCATCAACCTCATCATCAACTCAATCATCAGCATCATCATGATCATTATCGTCATCAGTCATCAGCAAAATCATGATTATCATCAGTATTAACAGCAGCATCATCGTCGTCAACATCAAGCCTATCAGCAGAATCACCACCACTATCATCATCATCATCATCAGCAGCAGCATCATCAACAGCATCATCATAATCATCACCATCATCATGATCATCCTCATCATCAGCATCATCAGCCACGTCATCATCGTCATCCTCATCCTCATGCGCATCATCATCATCGCCATCATCACCAACTGCGTCACCATCATCATCATCATCATCATCATCATCAGCAGCAGCAGCATCAGCATCAGCTCAATCTTCACTTTCATCATCATCAGAATCATAATCAACATCATCATTATCATCATCATCATCATCATCATCATCATCATCATCATCATCATCATCATCATCATCATCGTCACTGTCATCGCCATCGGCAACGTCATCATTCTACTTATCAGCGTCATCATCAGCAGCAGCAGCATCATCATCACCATCATCATCATCATCATCATCATCATCCTCCTCCTCCTCCTCCTCCTCCTCCTCCTCCTCCTCCTCCTCCTCCTCCTCCTCCTCTTCATCACAACCGTCATCAGCTTCGTCACGCGCTCCAGCCAGGAGGCGGCGCTGCCGCCACAGGAGGGCTGGACGGCCCCAGCCTGGGCGAGCGTCCCCGCGGCCTCGGCGCCGGAGCCCCACGTCCGCGCCGGGCGTGCCAACGACCTGGGAGTCCCGTGGGGGGCGGCGCTGCTGCCATCCTGAGAAGCAGCCTCCTTCCCAGACCCCCGACGTCGTGATTTTTGTGACAACGTCGACCCCTAGAGGTTTGGACACCTACCCCAGGACGGGCTTCTCCTCCCGAGTCGTTTTGTTGACGCTCTCGAGGCCTGGTGAGGGCCCCCGGAGCCTGATGACCTGGGAGTCCCGTGGGGGTCCGCGGGCGTTCCCGCCGCCTGCGAGGAGGAAGCCGCGGGCGCCAAGCTCTTTCGCGAGGAGGGGGCTCGGGGCGAGGAGGCCCCTCGGCGCCCCGGGAGCCAGGGGAGGGCACTGCAGAGCGGCTGGAGGGCATCGGCAAGAACAGAGCGCGCCCGACGCCGTCGGCGAAGCGAAGGGCTATGCCACTGCAGCTGCCGCGAGCGTCGCGCAAAGGCCAGCGAACGGCAGCCGATGACGCATCCTGCCAATCCGCTCGAAGTCTGCGAAGCATCATCATCACCGTGTTCGTCATCATCACCACAAGCTCCGTCTTGATTTTTCAATACGTTGGATCTCTGGGGAGGGCCAAGGAGGAGCGAGACGCCAGGTCGTTGAGGGCAGCGCGGCCAGGTCAGGTGAGCGAGGCGGCCGCCGTGAGCCAGTCAGGCGCAGACAGCCCTGCGGGGCGGCCTCACAGAGCCACCCCCGGGAGAGGGGAGGCGGTTGCTGAGGGTGGGACGTCGAGCTGAGGGACGGACGACAGAAAACGCCTGAGGGGATCCACCGAGCGGTGTTTGGCGCCCGTGGCTCCGACACACATACGATCAAAAATCTGTGCACAGCGTGTCGCGGCGGCGGCCCCGGCGACACGCTGTGCCCTGCGAGCGGTTAGCATGTCGCTCCACTCCGCGGGGTGGGAGGTCGGGAAAACCAGGGTCTCTGAAGCCTGGGAACTGGAAAGTGGATAGCGTGTCGCGCCGAAGCGTGGTGGGTCAGAACTGGCGGAGCGACACGCTCTCCGAAAGTTCGCGACCGTGCACACACACACACACACACATACATACGCACACGCGAACATCCTCCTCGCCCTCCCCTTCCTCCTCCTCCGCCTCCTCCTCTTCCTCCTCCTCCTCTCCTTCCTCCATCTCCTCCTCGTCCCCCTTCTCCTCCTCCTCCTCCTCCTCCTCCTCCTCCTCCTCATCATCATCATCATCATCATCGTCGTCGTCATCATCATCCTCATCATCATCATCATCATCATCATCATCATCATCATCATCATCATCATCATCATCATCATCATCATCTCATCATCATCATCATCATCATCATCATCATCATCATCATCATCATCGTCATCATCATCGTCATCGTCATCATCATCATCATCAGCATCATCATCCTCATCGTCATCCTCATCCTCATCCTCATCCTCCTCATCCTCCTCATCCTCCTCATCCTCCCTCCTCTTCATCCTCCTTCTCCTCCTCCATCCCTCTTCCTCACAAATAAACTACTCCCTGTCGCACCCCGACGTCAGTCGAAAGGGCGGGCCGGGCGTTTTGCCTGAGACTTCCTCACCTTTCACGGTCGTGAAGCTTGGGATTTGCAACAGCTTCACGGATGGAGGGCGGGTCGTTTTCAAAACGTGGCGCTCGCCTTAGCGCCGCGCACACTTGTCTTGAAAATCTGCCAGAGCTTCACAGATGGAGAGCGGGCCATTTTCGAAATGCGGTTCTCGCCTGGGCGTCGCGCACACTCGTCGTAAACATTCGCCAGAGCTTCACGGATGGAGTGCGGGCCTTTTTCAAAATGCGGCTCTCGCTTCAGCGCCGCGCACATTCGTTGTTTAAAATTGCAAGAGCTTCACGAATGGAGGGCGGGTCGTTTTCAAAATATTGCTCTCGCCTGAGCGCCGCGCACACTCGTCTTAAAGATAGTCAAGAGCTTCACGGATGAAGGGCAGACCGTTTTCAACATGCGGCTCTCGCCTCTGCGACGCGCACACTGTTTGCAAAAAATGTTAGCCAGCGTGGACCCCAAACAACATGTTCTTGGAATCTATGCGGCGCAGTATATGTGGTGCAATGTATGCGATGCAACCTATGCAATGCAATATATGCGGTGCAATATGTGTGGCGCGTTAGCAATGCAACTTGAGTAAGGCAATATATGCGGAGCAATCTGTGTAGTGCAATGTATGCGGTACGTCCTAATGTAATGCAATATCTGTGGTGCAATATATGTGGTGCAATGTATGAGACGCAACCTATGTGATGCGGCCGATGCGGTGCATTCTACGTTGTACAACGCATGCGATGCAACCTACGTAATGCAACTTATCCGGGTGCCATATATGTGGCGCGCTGCATGCGATGCAACCTATGCAATGTAGTCTATGCGGTGCAGTATATGTGGTGCAATGTATGTGATGCAACCTATGTAATGCAATATACGTGTGCTGCAAAGTATGCGATGCAACATGTGGAATGCAATATATGCGGTGCAACCGACGTGGTGCAATGTACGAGATCCAACCTATGTAATGCAGTCTATGCGGTGTAATCTGTGTGATGCAATGTCTGCGATGCAACCTATGTACTGCAGTCTACGAGGTGCAGTGTATGCGATGCGGCGACGGCGACGGGTGGCGACGGGCGGCACGGGCGGCGACAGGCAGGGATGGCGGCGACGGGCGGCGACGGCGACGGGCGGCGACGGGCGGCACTGGCGGCGACGGGCGGGGATGGCGGCGACGGGCGGCGACGGCGACGGGCGGCGACGGGCGGCGACGGGCGGCACGGCGGCGATTTTGCGGCGAGGGCCCCGAAATATTTAAACGGAGTAAAACCCCCCAGTGCTGCAAGCACTGTTTAGGGAATTACAAGACCTTCGCGGATGGAGGGCGGGCCGTTTCCAAAATGTGGTTCTCGCCTGAGCGCCGCGCACGTCCGCGTTGAAAAATTGCATAAGCTTTGCGAATGGAGGGCTGTCCGTTTTCAAAATGTGGTTCTCGCCTTAGCGCCGCGCATATTCGTTCAAAGGTTGCAAGAGCTACACGGATGGAGGGCGGTACCTTTTCAAAACGTAGCTCTCGCCTGAGCGCCGCGCACATTCGTCTTAAGAGCTTGTAGCAGTGTTCACCGATTCTCATGGTTAACACCCCAAGAACGGCATCATGGCACGATGTCGGAATGGCAGGGCGTAACAGTCACAGTGATTCGCAGTGTTGTGAAGTTCCAGAAGCTGTATTGCGGCACGGTTCTGGACCGTCATGACGAAACAGTTATCGGTGATTCGCGGCGTAAAAGTCCCAGGAATGGTGTTCTGGCACAGTTCTGGATTTCCAAACACTTGTCTTCCAACGGGACACTTCCCGCAATGAACATGATGTCTTGTAGGTGCCTATGAAGAGGGAACCTGGAGGGAGGGTTCATTGCAAGATCGTTCATGGAACTTGGGTTTACACTGGTCCTCCTTCTCCTCCTCCCCCTCATCCTCCTCATCCGTCCCTCTTCACTTCTCCCTCCCTCCCTCCCGCCCTCCTTCCCCGTTATCCCCCCTTCATCTCTAGCCTTACTCTCCCCCCCGTCCCCCCAGACGTCCACGCGCGTCCACTTTTCCGAGGCAGCTGTCTCCTGCATGCTGTCGCGGACGCCTCTGTGCATCTGCCGCACCGACTGCACCGAGGCGAACGCGGGGCTCGCTGGGTCGAAGATATTGCCCATGTGCCATGCGGCAAGGTGCTGACCCGTCCTGCGGAAACGGGAATGGTTGCATAGCGTGTCGCGGCGACGGCCCTGGCAGCACGCTATGCCCTGCGAGCGGATAGCGTGTCGCTCCGCTCCGCGGGGCGGGAGGTCGGGAAAGGCTCGGGACGTGGGCGCCTGGGGACCGTGAAGCGGATAGCGTGTCACACCCAGGAGCCGCGGGCCAGAACCGGCGGAACGACATAGTATCCAAAAGTTCTGGACCGTATGAGAAGGAAGGGAAATGAGAGGCGACGAAGGTGAGACTGGCGACGAGGAGGAGGGATGTGTTTCGACATCGGCAGCAAGAGGCCCCAAGTAAATGAGGAGATCGCAGAAGACCATGCCGATCACCATGAACACGAAAAGAGGCCACGGAGAGTGACAGGACCCCGCGATGAAGGAGAATGAGGAGGAGGAGGAGGAGGAGGAGGAGGAGGAGGAGGAGAGGGAGGGAGGAGGAGGAGGAGAGGGAGGGAGGAGGAGGAGGAGGAGAGGGAGGGAGGGGGAAGAGGAGGGAGGTGGAGGATGAGGGGGTTGAGGGAATGGAAGTAAAGAGCGAGGGTGGTCGCAAGGTGTGCCAAGCGGCCAGGCACTGACCTATGAGGGCGGAGAGGAGGAGGAGGAGGAGGAGGAGGAGGAGGAGAAGGAGGAGAAGGAGAGGATAGGCATGAGGAAAAGTGCCACGCCGTGGCGCCCCGTCCTCGTGTACCTCTTCAGGGACGCCTCGGGGTTGTCGGAGGCATGGGTAAAGACGAGGGCGCCGAGCAGACTGGGGAGGCTGAACCCGATCACGAGCGCACAGTGCCACAGGAGAAACAGTGGCATCGCGTGCTCCTCGAAAAACCTATTGCCACGGCATTATGGAGACTGCCTCCTCCTCCTCGTCCTCCTTCTCCTCCTCCTCCTCCTCCTCCTCCTCCTCCTCCTCCTCCTCCTCCTCCTCATCATCATCATCATCATCATCATCATCATCATCATCATCATCATCATCAGAATCATCATCATAATCAGCATCAGAATCAGCAGCAGAATCATCATCAACGTCAATTGCATCATCATCAGCAGCATCATCATCAGTACCGTCAGATTCATCATCATCAGCATCATCACCATCATCTGCAGCATCGTCAGAAGCAGCATCAGCATCAGCAGCAATATCATCGTCATCATCATCAGCAGCACCATCATCATCAGCATCCTCAACAACAACATCATCATCATCATCACCCTCATCAGCATCATCATCGTCATCATCCTCATCATCATCATCATCATGAGCATCAGAGTCTACATCGCCATCATCATCAGCATCATCATCGTCATCATCATCAGCATCATCACCAGCACCATCATCACCATCATCATAATCATCATCATCATCATCATCATCATCATCATCATCATCATCATCATCATCATCATTATCATCCTAACCGTCATCACCATCAACAGTATCATCAGCATTGTCATCGTCATCGTCATCATCATCATCGTCGTAGTCGTCGTCATCATCCTCTTTCTCATCCTCATCCGCCTCCGCCTCCCACACCTCCGCTTCATCATAATCCTCATTATCATCAGTATCATCATCAGCAGCAGCATCATCATCATTATCAGTATCATCATCAGCAGCAGCAGCATCATCAGCATAATCATCAGCAGCATCATCAGCAGCATCAGCATCAGCAGCAGCTGCATCACCCTCATCCGCAAACTCATCCGCATCCACATCCTCATCCTCATCATCCTCCTCCTCCCCATCATCACCATCAGCATCAGCATAAGTTCCAACGCTCGACAGCCTTCGTCCAGTATGGCATGGCCCTTTCTCATCATTGGTTCCACGCGGGTTCGATGACGGTTCGACGTAGACTCGACATGTATTAGATATCGATCCAAGATAAATCCGCGTACAGGCAGCACGCGAGCAAAACCAGGACAAACCAGGCAGGCAGCACAGGGGCGAGTGGTTCTAATCCAGGACAGACCCCAGAACAAGCAGCAATCGAGGCAGCGCGAGTAGGTGGTCTTTGCCAGATTCGCAAACAGCTGCAGGACAGAAAGCGTCCAAACACATTGGATGGGATGGCGGCTGAGAAATTGTGTAAAGAGCCACCCTCCTCCTCCTCCTCCTCCTCCTCCTCCTCCTCCTCCTCCTCCTCCTCCTCCTCCTCCTCTTTCTCATCCTCTTCCTCCTCTTCCTCCTGCTCTTCCTCCTCCTCCTCCTGCTCTTCCTCCTCGTCCTCCTCCTCTGGTGGCGGAAGCCTGTTCACTCGGAGACAGCGCCCCATGTCCAGCCTGCGCGGACTCCGTTGAACCCCCATCGACGCCGAAGCGTCCAACAGAAGCGTCTCGATGAGATGTGGGCCTTCTCGGCCGATCTCCGGCGCCTAAGAATTACCCTGTGACGTACCCAGCCCATTTGTATCAGTGGAAACGATGAGTTGGCCGAAACTTGTATGGACAATCAACTTGATGTGTAAGCTACTTGGGAGGCGTCACTGTGCTGGGCCCCGCAAGCAGGCCTCGAAAGTGGCGACAGTTTCACAGATCGCAACCCCCCAGGGATGGCGAGGTCTAATTTGAATCTGCGTGTGGCGTCACTGTGCTGGGCCCCCCAGCAGGCCTCGAAAGTGGCGACAGTTTCACAGATCGCAGCCCCCCAGGGATGGCGAGGTCCCATTTGAGTCCGCCGTGGGTACCCACTGTGCTGGGCCCCCCAGCAGGCCTCGAAAGTGGCGACAGTTTCACAGATCGCAGCCCCCCAGGGATGGCGAGGTCCCATTTGAGTCCGCCGTGGGTACCCACTGTGCTGGGCCCCCCAGCAGGCCTCGAAAGTGGCGACAGTTTCACAGATCGCAGCCCCCCAGGGATGGCGAGGTCTTTGGGTCCGCCGTGGCCCACTGTGCTGGGCCCCCCAGCAGGCCTCGAAAGTGGCGACAGTTTCGCAGATCGCAGCCCCCCAGGGATGGCGAGGTCCAATTTGAGTCCGCCGTGGGGCAGACTGTGCTGGGATGGCGAGGTCCCATTTGAGTCCGCCGTGGGTACCCACTGTGCTGGGCCCCCCAGCAGGCCTCGAAAGTGGCGACAGTTTCACAGATCGCAGCCCCCCAGGGATGGCGAGGTCCCATTTGAGTCCGCCGTGGGTACCCACTGTGCTGGGCCCCCCAGCAGGCCTCGAAAGTGGCGACAGTTTCACAGATCGCAGCCCCCCAGGGATGGCGAGGTCCCATTTGAGTCCGCCGCGAGTGCAGACTGTGCTGGGCCCCCCAGCAGGCCTCGAAAGTGGCGACAGTTTCGCAGATCGCAGCCCCCCAGGGATGGCGAGGTCCAATTTGAGTCCGCCGCGAGTGCAGACTGTGCTGGGCCCCCCAGCAGCCCTCGAAAGTGGCGACAGTTTCGCAGATCGCAGCCCCCCAGGGATGGCGAGGTCTAATTTGAGTCCGCCGTGGGTGCAGACTGTGCTGGGCCCCCCAGCAGGCCTCGAAAGTGGCGACAGTTTCACAGATCGCAGCCCCCAGCAGCCCTCGAAACGCAGCGACGAGCCAGGTAAAAGGCAGGGGGGAAGAGGGGGGCGGGATTCGCGCGAGCAGTGCTCTATTCAAAACGAGAGCACAACGCAGGAGGGTTGGGAAAAAACAGCATGGCGTGTTAGAAAATCGACGGCCTCTTCGGGCGCCGTGGTCCGCGAAAACACCCCCCAAAAAAAGCAAGGCCCACGCAAAGCACGCCATTGGGGAATCTCGGTGTCGGAGAACCGATTCCGCATCGTGCACAAAAAAACCCTTGAGGCGGCTCTGTTGGGCGCGGACGGTGCCGATGGGGATCGGGACGGCTCCGCTTTGCAGAGAACCCTCGTTCGCGACACCACTGCAGTCCTGACCTCCCTACTGTCGACACATGCCACATGCGATTGGCTATCTTGCTGTAGAAAATCTGTGGGCACATGCGTTGTCGATCGTTGGGGGCCCCGCGGTGCCCCAGAGCTTCTGTGCGTCCTCGGGGCCACCAGAGGATAAGAGAGTTCTGTCGGGCACCTGCTGGCAGGCTGGCTTCTTATTTGGTGCAGCTAGCGTACTCCCGCGTCCCTCTCCCCACTCGCGCGGGGGGGGGCAGCGGTGGGGGGGATGCGCCGCCTTCCCCCTCTAGTGTTCTGCCCAGAGTCAGGGTCATGATCAGGGGGCGTGGTGTCACTGCAGATCCCAAACGGTCTTGACTGCGTTTGCGCAAGGGGGCCAGTGGCGGGGGTGTCCCGAGACCACCCTCCTTGAGGAATACCCCCATGGTTCCCTGACGAGCCCTCCTCCTAAGAATACAGCGCAATGCGATGCATAGCATTGCAATGCAATGCAATGCAATGCAACGGAAAGCGACACAACACACACACACACACACACACATCAACGCATTGAATTGCAGTACACCCCTGATTAAAGTCAAGCAACCTAAGGACTACCAAAGCAGCGCAAGAGCAAAGTAAGGCAATGAATCGCACATCAAAGTGAAGCAAAACAATGTAGGTGCAAGGAGGTAAAGAAGCCCAACTAAACCGAGTGCAAAGCAAGCAAAAAAAACAATCACTGTAGTGGAACACAGCTGATAGCAATGCAACGCGAACCAACACAAAGTAACGCATCTACCTTGAAACCGTATCAAGGGAAAGCCGTAACATGTGACATTGTGTACCGCTTGGGCTCGAAATTGTTTTGGTGTTCCACGTTTCAGCGTGTCTGCGGCTTGTGCTTACCTCGCCTTTGTCCATAACCATCTGAGCGGCGCATAACGTGATACTTCTTACGGCGGCCATCGCACGATACCCCAGAACGACGGCCACAACTGCGTGAAACCAGAAGGCAAACAGCAGACCAGGACCACCACACCTGCCAGCCTACGAGGGGAGAGGACTGAAGTGGCAGTCACAACGATGGCCCCACATGCTCACAGCCACGGAGGAAGCTGGAGAGGCGAGATGTTGCTGTCTCCGTCCACGACGGCGCCCCTCTGCAGATCCTCCAAACTCTTAGGCGTGTCCAGCTCCACCGAACCCACCTAGGGCTGACTAGAAACTAAACCACCACAGCGAAGCACCCAACCCCTTCGGAGAGGGGGGAGGGGCATTGTGTTGAGATGCGCGCCCTCCTCCCCCCAAACCACCTCCTGCTCCTCCTCCGCCTCCTCTTCCTCGTCTTCCTCCTGCCCCTTCTCATTCTCCTCCTCCTTCTCCTCCATCTCCTTCGCCTCCTCCTCCATCTCCTCCTCCTCCTCTTCCTCCTCCTCCTCCTCATCATCATCATCATCTTCATCATCATCATCAGCATCTTCAGCATCAGCCTCGTCATCATCACCATCAGCAGCAGCATCACCATCATAAGCATCATCAACATCAACAGCATCATCATCACCATCATCATCATCAGCATCATCATCAGCATCATCATCATCATCATCATCATCATCATCATCATCATCATCACCATCACCATCACCATCATCTCCCTCATCCTCCTCATCCTCATCATCTTCCTCCTGCTCCTCACATCCCGTCTCCTCCTCCTCCTCTTCCTCCTCCTCCTCCTCCTCCTCCTCCTCCTCCTCACTCCTCACTGCTCACTCCTCACTCAATACTCTTCACTCCCCCGCTAGATACTCCTCCACCTCCCCCTCCTTGCTCGCAGGTCCTTATGTTTACTTTTCCTCCCTCGTTCTCCCTCGTCGTTCTCGTGCTCCTCCAGTTCCAAACCCCCCATCCTCCTCATCATCATCCCCCCACCATCCCTCGCTACGATTGCCGCGTCAGTCCTCCTTCCGCTCCTCGTCCTCCTCATCCTCCGTCTCCTCTTCTTCCATTTTCTCCTCATATTGTTATACAACGGTACCCTCGGGGCCGCACTGTCGGAATAGTTGGACGAAGCGCTGCGAATCCAGATGGCCTCCAGACTGATCCGGAAAGCCCCAAGACGGCACCAGCGAGCGCAAGAAAGCCACGACGACGGCCCAAGACAGATCGAGAATCCGAGAGCCCCCACAGACGCCAGGAGCTCGCCTCCAGACGGCTCCAAGACGGTCCCCAGACCCGCCCAAATCGCCCGGAGGGGGTTACACAGATCATTTTCCTAAAACTTCGGCGGAATCATGGCGCCCAAAATAGCGGCAAAATCCCGCAACAGGACCCAGCAAAACTGGCCCCAAGAAGGCCCCCGAGAGGCCCCCAGGCGGTTTCAGAAAAAACCCTGAGAGATAGACTTGGAGACGTGAGAGCCTGGGAGACGCGCCCGGGACCCCGGGGGTGCCGAGATCTCGAGGACAAATGCTGTTACTATGAGAGAAGACGAGGGCGAGAAGGAGAAGGAGGAGGACGAGGAAGAGGGGAGGAAGAGGAGGAGGAAGAAGAGAAGGAAGATAATGAGGAGGGTGGGGAGCGAGCGTCTACGGCTCGGGTCTGTGCCCACGTACGACGGCCGCGGAGGGCCCCTCACGGCGGCGACGTAGTTGACGTCGCGGGCGTAGAAAGAAACACCCTGAGCATCATCATCACCACCACCACTACCATCATCATCATCATCATCATCATCATCATCATCATCATCATCATCATCATCATCATCATCATCATCATCATCATCATCATCATCATCATCATCATCATCATCATCATCATCATCATCATCATCATCATCATCATCATCAGCATCATCATCAGCATCATCATCATCATCATCATCACATCATCATCATCACCACCACCACTACCATCATCATCATCATCATCATCATCATCATCATCATCATCATCATCATCACCATCATCATCATCACCACCACCATCATCATCATCATCATCATCATCATCATCATCATCATCATCAGCATCAGCATCAGCATCATCATCATCATCATCATCAGCATCATCATCACCACCACCACTACCACCATCATCATCATCATCATCATCATCATCAGCATGAGCATCATCATCATCATCAGCATCATCATCATCACCACCACCACTACCATCATCATCATCATCATCATCAGCATCAGCATCATCATCATGACCATCAGCATCATCATCATCATCAGCATCATCATCACCACCACCACTACCATCATCATCATCATCATGACCATCATCATCATCATCATCATCATGGCCATCATCATCATCATCATCATCATCATCATCATCATCACCATCAAGAACGGAATCGCACGGGATGAAGTCGAGGAAAGACGTACTACCGAGAGCAAAAACTGAGGATGTGCCGTCCTCCGTGCCGACGATATGCAGGTTGCCGCGCGACTGCTCGTCGGGGCTCTGCGTGCTGGACGAAGTGGGCCGCGAAGACGCTGGAGGCCATGGCCTCGACCAGCTCGTTACGCTGGCGGAGGCAAGGAAGCCGAAGGATGAACTGGGGCAGCAGCAGCGGAATCAGCTCCGTGCTCGATGTCACCAGTTCGAGGCGCCATGGGCACGTCCTCGTCGGCGTGCTGAAGCAGGGCGCCGAACCTCCTCGATGGGCGTGGCAGAGCAGTTCTCGACGTGGGCGCGAGGCCCCTTATGATCGGCATCATGCAGGCCATCGCGAGAAAGCGTCGCAGTTTGGCCATCCCTATCAGGCAGACCCAAAATTGCACTTAGCACCGCAGTGCCGTCGTTAAAGCCACGCGTTTCCATGTTCGCCTCTCCAGCTTGCGGCGGCTGGAGAAGATCCTAGCAGGTAGCAGCATCGAAACCATCGTGGTGGACAGTCTGATGGTCGTACTCGGCGTGCTTCAGGTCGTACTCACGAGGGCCTGCGTGGTCGCATATTCCGGGAGAGCTCTCGCCGTCGCCACCACGCACCTGAGCATGGTGAGGCAGGGGTACAGCGCCAGCAGTAGCTGCCGCCGCAGGATGGGGGTCGGGAGCGGCATGCGCTCGGCAAATCGAGGGAGGAGGGAGGAGGGAGGAGGGAGGAGGGAGGGAGGAGGAGGGAGGGGAGGGAGGGAGGAGGAGGAGGAGAGGAGGAGGAGGAGGAGGAGGAGGAGGAGGAGGAGGAGGAGGAGGAGGAGGAGGAGTAGGAGGGGAAGGCGGAGGGGAAGGAGGAGGAGGAGGAGGAGGAGGAGGAGGAGGAGGGGGAGGGGAGGGAAGGAGTAGCGGTTAAAAACTAGCGCGGCCTAGCTGTGACACACGTTGTGAGTGGTCGTTCGCGCTACGCGGCTACACGTAGTGGCGAGCAGGCTCATCGAATATGTAACCTTGATAATGCGGAGCACGAGGAGTGGCTGCCACAGGCGGCGAAGCAGCAGCGCCAGAACCAGGGGGCGCGACAGCTTCCATTCAACGGAGGACAACCCGATGAGTATCGCTCGCGGGAGGGTCAGATGAGCCAGCAGCCAGACACGACGGAGCAGCAGTGCGAGGCACACTCGGGCAGTCGCGCGACCCGCTGAACAGATCGTCGCACACGACGAGTCTCCGCTCGAAGGTGTAGTTGCACTCGGAGTCCGACATCAGATCGTCCTCGAACACGGGAGAGCCCCTTGGCACAGCAGCTGGCGCCGCCGATGACATCCATCTCCTCGACGTCGGCAGCTGAGGAATAGGGGCACTCGGGATCCTCGCCAGTAGCCGCAGCAAGGCGACTGCGCGACCATGCAGGGGAGCTGTTGCGCGTCGACGAGAGAGAGAGAGAGGCAGGAGGACACCGCGGGGTCGGCGTCGAGCCCCTCGAGAATGGACTTGCCGATCAGTCGCTGGTTGAGCTCAGGGATGGCGGCGCCCGGGCGGTCGCTGACATCGCGGGGGCAGCGGGCGCGCGAGGCAGCATCGATCCCTGGAAAGGCCGGGCCGCCAACCGCCCAGCCGCCCGGAGCGGCTCCGCGTTCGGAGCCGCGCGCTCCGCGCCGCCCGAGGGCCCAGGCGAAGCTGCCCACGAAGCCGACGGCGAGGGGCTTCTCGAGGAATGGCCAACGAACACCACGCAGCACGGCATGCCTCGCCAGCAGCCTGACGCCGCCGAGAGGCACCGTGCGAACGCGAGACCTCGAACCCAGCAGGGAATAGCTCGTAGCGCAACAGCCCGTGGACATACCCCGCGCACCACTCGAGCCGCGACCGGGAATGCCTCATGGAGTCCGCGATGTAGAGGATGGACGGGAGCCGGTCGCCCAGATAGCCGCTCGGTCTGCCAAGGCGCGGCGCGCCCGCTCGGCGCGCCGCGCAGGACATCCTGGATCGACGTCACCCTCGGCGCGAACGAGGGCTGGGTCCCGGACCAACCCGCACTGGGAGAACAGAGAGGCTGTGAGGCTGTACACCCTGCGAAATGCTTAAGAAATCATGGGTTAAGAAATTCATAGTCTCAGAACTTGAACAAAAACCCAAGATTTCTATCAAAATCTTAAGATTTACATTGAAACGTTAAGAATAATCGAGACTCTGGCCGAAAACTTAAGTTTTCTTAAGCATCGCCTGAGGTGTAGGGCGCGGCACACAGCTGAGGGGAGGCCACCCACGAAAGCGATCCCATCTGGCCCAACGGCGACCGCACCCCACCTGGCGCCTGTCGAGAGGAAGCTCCTCAACGGGAGCGACGGGAACAATCCGCCTGGCACCACCAAGCCTCCAGGCCTCTTCGGACAGCTCCGCGGACAGAGCGTCGAGGAGCATTGCACACTCATCGCCAGCACCACGAGAAAGAATGTGGTAATACGCCGTGAGCTGGAGCTGCCCTATCACAAACGCAATGCACCAAGATAGCCAGTCCTGGCGAGCGTCGATGCGCTCGCCCCGATAGAGGTAGCACAGCGGGGGACCCACAACTCTGCAATTCGAAGGAGCACGCCTTTGAGTTGGGAGCAGTTGTCGCACTCGTCCTCGTGCCCAGCGGAAGAGGCCAGCGACGGCAAACCGAGCACCTACGTCGCAAGCGCATCAGAGTGCTCACGCGCGGGACGGGGAATAGCAGCACCATGGGAGGGCAATGCAACAAGACGGTCAGCATGGTGGAGATGGCACGCAGCACGAAGACGTCGGTGGCGCACCGCGGGAAAGAGGGGCCGATCCA